AACTATAACTAAAACATAACACATTACCACTGAGTTTACACTTAAGATTTATTAACCATGATATTATAATATCTGACGTGAAATTTTCATTAAGCACGAAATATAAAATTAAAAACCATTTAATTTAGAACACATTTGAGAGTTAGATGCTAGGAGCTTTTAAGCAGAAACAGCGAATATGTATTTTATAAAATGTAAGTAGATTATATTGTAAGATATTCATATAAACGCGTCTTACAGAATACTCTGAATACAATTTCAACAAGCTAATTATTGAAAAAACAAAAATCCGACTGCATAAACATGTGTAAAAATAAAAAGAACAATCGATTTTGATTGTTGTAATTTTCACATACCCAGTGTCATTGTCACAATTAAGACGAATCGAACGACACCTCCCAAACCGCAATCTATGAAGCCCTTTAGCCTAAGAACTAAGACCTAAGACTAAGAACATAACCCTCCATCTGGTGCAGTCGGGTAAAAATAAATTTTAGGGGGATTTCATTTTTAAAGAATTATTTAAATTTATCAATTTTTTCGATTTTGTAATAGTTAAACTGTTCTGTTGTTTGTAAAAAAGCGTAGGGTACCCCACGCTTTCAGGGAATTTTATATATTATTTTATATAAAATTCCCTGAAAGCGTGGGGTACCCTATATATTATTATAATTGAGATCTAGCACCCACGATGTTTTACGATAAAATTATTTTTCTTTTTGAACTTATAGAAAATTATTTTTTCTTTTTAGATCAGCTTATTAAAACTGTCGCAACAAAGCATCACTCAAATTAAGTCCAAATTAATATTTTGCCTGTACATAATCCTATCGGTCCTTATCGCTCAAATACTCTAAATACATAGGTGGTTAGCGTAACAGTTACTTATGCATGTACAATATTAGGACTAAGTAACACTTTGTCTGTTACGTTGTAGCGCCTTAATTACTCTGTTCATCCAAAATTTCGAACCTTTCAATTTAAAAAACAAGCTTTTAGAAATAGTAAAGAGAAACCTACATTTGTTGACAAAATAAACATATGTATGTCTAAAAAGTATAAAAGCTGAAGTCTGAACATTAGCTTCCGTTTTTTGAAATGAATAAAAATGATTAAGTTACTAAATAAAAATGATAAGGTACTCATTTATTACCGGATATTTAAATAAAGTTCAGTCCTACTTTTTGATCCACTAGCGTTCCCATGAAATTTACCTTAGATACAGTAACGTATAAGAAAAAAGAGAAAACATTCTCAAATCTTATTGAAAAAAATGCCTTGAAACAAAGAAAACTAGTTTAATAAATTACTTACGAATTTTTATTTCTGTTGCAGTGATTTGCGGTTTTCTACTTTTATGTACTGTACCAGCGTACATGCATCACCCAGATAGTATAGGGGAAAGCGAGTTGTATGAGGAGTTTAAACCTCTCGCACCTTCGTTCACAACCTTAATAGGCGTTACAGGCTTAATACACGAGCCTTTGAAATGCAGAAATGGAATGTTGAGTAAAAGACCAGAAAATAATCATCGAAAGTTCTTGACAAGATTTCGGCGGGATTCAATACAAAAATACATAGAAGATCAAATAAATCGTAAACGGTATTGTCGCTTTTTGCTCTAATTTCATATTGTTAATAAATAAATAAATATCTACTGACGTATCGTACCGTACCGTATCCGTGTGGTTACGGATTAAGAATACAGAGTGTCACCACCCCTATTCATCTCGTGGGTGTCCTAAGAGCCGACTAAGGGAGCAAACTACGCAGGACAACAACACTGCACAGAGAAGGAAAACTTGACACAAATTCTATGCCAACCAACCCGCGTAGCCAGTGTGATATAGTAGGTCCAAAACCTGCTTTCTAAGGAGAGGCCTATGTCCAGCAGTGGACTAGTAAAGGCTGTTGGTGTGATGTGATGATGATCTACTAACCATGATTTCATGACTATAAATCTACCACAATCAGGTGATAATGCAGGTACTATGACTGTTGAGTTACAGTACTGCAAACATGTGCCCGACTCAGTTCTTGAAAGTGGTTGTGCAACGTTGTACTGAGATCGTTATTGTTACTGACAGGACTATTGTTGCCCATAAACCTGATATAGTAGTAATAGACCAATTAGAGCGCCGAGCAATTATTGTTCACATTACCATTCCACATGACGACAATCTCTTCCAAGATGAAAAAGACAAACAAGTAAAGTATTTGGATTTGGCCTACGAGATTATCGACATGTGGGATGTAGATTCGGCAATCATTATACTGATAGTCATATCGGCCAATGACTTAATTGCTAAGAGCCTCGACCAACATCTTTAGAGGCTCGCGTTAGGCAGCTGAATTAAGGCCCTAATGCAGAAAGCAGTTCTTCTCGATACGGCATGTATTGTGAGGAGGTTTCTGTCTATGGAGTCACCGGTATATTATATTTTTAAATGTATTTTGTTTTCTTTTTTGTATAAATTTATCTGTATATTCAATGAAATAAAAATAATAATAATGTTTGAACTCTAACACACAACGCCAACTAGTTTCAAACTAAACAGAGCTTGTGTATTATTATATTATTATGAAAGCTAGATTGGCTGATAGAATACTTGTACACTTTTATTAGATTCTTATTTATGGATAATTACTTAGTTACAGACGTCCGTGTGGTGAAGGATTAAGAATACGGAATGTCACCACCCCTATTCATCCCGTGGGTGTCGTAAGAGCCGACTAAGGGAGCAAACTACGCAGGTCAACAGCACTGCAAAGAGAAGGAAAATTTGAAACAAATCCTATATCAACCCGTCTGGCCAGTGTGGTATTACTAGGCCAAAACCTCCTTTCTAAGGAGAGGCCTGTGTCCAGCAGTGGACAGTTATAGGCTGTTGATGATGATACAGACGTGTGCTACTTATCCTCGCTCATAGTCGATAAATTCTTACATATGCCTCAGAGGAATGAAGTTTTTACATAATCCATCCGGCTGAGATATTAATAATTTTACACTTAAATATTAGAATCATCAAAAAACATTGACGATCCAATAGTAATATAGGGCAGTAGAAACATTGTTATATACCTACCAAGCTAGCTGGTATTTTATTAGAATATCGATGTTAATAAAATACCGGCTAGCTTGGTAGCTAAGGTTTCAATTTCATAAGACTATACTTCTATTTGTGGTAAACAGACATATAACTAAAATAATGATGATTACATTTACTACTACAATAAAAAGAAAAAAATCTCTGGCCACTAGGATTCCCCGTGTCAACGTCCAGTTCCTTCCGTAAGTTTACAAAATAATAAAAATAATGGATTTATTGTGTATTTTACACTTAATATTTTCTTTGATATCGTGATATCAAATACTATTGTATGAGGTTCTCGATATGATATGAGCGTAATCTTTAGGTATTAGCAGTTTCTGGATATTTTAATAAATGACAGGTTTATTATTTTATTGTTAGTTTTAGAGAATTTGGTGTAAAGATAGAGTCCCATAAATGTATGAGGTGATTTAAAGCAATAAATATATTTTCTGTTTTGTGAGAAATCGTGCTATGTACTTTGCAAGTTTAAATGAAGTGCCGAGGCACTACCTCGGTACTTCCTGACTCTCTTTTACTCTTGTTGCATTACTTGGTCTATAGCTGACGGCACACGCCATTAAATTCTAACAAAGATTATAAATCTACTTAAAACTGTTATAAAGTCAATGAGGCAAACAAGGGTACATACATTCAAGCGTTTAAAACAGTGTCAATGGAGCCTGTTCGAAGTGAAGCGACTGCATAAATAACTATAGGCCAACCTTTTTATACATAAAAATATAAGTACAATGTCTCGACCTAGTTCTAGTCTAGAAGGTATAGTAGACATATTAAGTTTTTACTAGCACCACAATGCTGACAGAAATAAATTATATGCATTTTTAATACATTACAATTGTTTACTTTGTACTTTGTACGTGGTGAGAACTAAATAATTTTTGTTATATATTTACAGTAATAGTTGCATTTAATTTTTTACAACGTAGATAAGTAGAATATAAATAAAATTTGAAAATTTTAAAGTTTTTTTACACACCTCCTTACCTTTTTTTTTTTTTCCGTTCGGAAATCCCCTCCGATACCACCTGTCGGTGGCATGTCGGACTCGAACCGACTAAAACCGCACGCCGTCTCGGGTACTAATAGCCGGGGAACCAGGTATACCCTATAAAGGAAGTCCCTGGTGCCCCGACATACCTCGGGTCATCTACAGACGAGTAGACGACCCCCCCCATGTGGGAACCCCATGTTCCCTGTGCTCCCTGGAAGCGAGCGCGCTTTGCAACGCGCTCGCCGCCACCCCGGCCTGCTTCTGATAGGGTGATAGATGGCTTCACCTGTCACCCCCAGGCCTGCGCTTATGGAGGACGGAGGTCGTTCTGCGACCTCCGTCGCCTGAGTCGCCTGCGGTACCTGGCCCGTTCCCGGGCCTGGCGGGCCGGGAGAGTCCTAAACCTCTCCCGGTCCCGCTCCGCCGTCTCCTTCGCGAGCATAACTTGCTCCCAGAAGGAGACGGCAGAGTTCCACGCACTCTCGCTCCGCACGATAGCCGCAATCAGGCTATCGAGCGAGAGAACTCCCACTCCGATGGCCGCCACGAGGTCTCGCCTCTTCTCAACCCACGCCGGGCACTCTGACAGCGTGTGGAGAGCCGTGTCCACGGTCTGGCCATCGCAGACACCTACTTACCCTAGAATTTATCATTATGTTTTCTTCTCCAAAAATCTTCATTATACCTTTTTCGTGTTCTGTAATTGTTTGAGCCTTTTTTTTAAATAGTACCAGAGAGAAAGAATTTGGCTTTAAAACCTAGATCTGAATTAGCTTGCTACATTATAGTAATCTGTGATCTGAATTTATGTACTATGAAAAGATCAGAAATATAACCTATGTATTGAAGGCTTGAAGTAAATACTGAAGACCGCATTAAAAGATTGTACAATTATGAAGCCTTCATATGTTATTAGTTCTTATAGCAAATTTAATTTATTAGAATCTGTATCAGATGTACAAGTGTTTATGCAACATTATAAAAAACGAATAAATGCTCAGCTCCAACGTGATCAGGCTAACTTAAGAACTGAATTCATATCCTTTGCTGAGAAGAAAATCAGCGTTCCAGATATGGGATTTATACAAGATAACACTGAAAGATTCATAAAAGATACTCCCAACGAAGATAATTTGGTGACGGATTATTACCAAAATGAATGTGGTCATATTTATTCTATGGTTTATAGTGCAGACGGACAAACTATTCTTTTGGGATTCTCAAGTGGTCTGATACAGGTAAATTACTTTTGTTTTTTTTTTCTAACTTTCGGAATATGGCACCCAAGCTTGTGAGGACAGCGGTTTTGCTTTCCCGGTTGTTGCCCAATCTAGGGGACCACTACTGCCTGTAAGTGGCTCTACGAGGGTATAAACGGGGCCCCCATTTGGGTGGAGACCCTGAGGGCCCGCCATATTGAGACAACCTCAACGAGTGATGGCTGTCAGAGTCATAAGAGGATACCGCACGGTTGTCGTCGAAGCGGCAAGTTTGCATCATGGAACCTTGAGGCGAAAATCCTTGCGTCGCTATATTTATTTACTTATTGTATATTCATCATGCACATTTAGTGCGTTCTGTTTCCTTTTATTTTTCACTGCTGTTTGATAGTGTACCTAACTTTGCCTGAGTTTGTATAATAAAATTTAACAAATGTGCAGTTAGAAAAATATAGAGATTATCCATTTATATTTCATTCTAGACAATATAAAGAGACTTGTACAGTACCATATTTACAGAACATGTGAGTAGCAGTGTCTCTAAATAAACTCCTTTCGTCATCATCATCAATCGATCGAAGTAACGCGCAATGGGAGTGGCCTATGAGGTTTTACGCAAATACTGATTGATCAATATTTGCGTAAAACTTCTTTAGTTTTACGCAAACATGAAGAATGCGCTCTATCATACATAGTGATTGGAACAAATATTTCTATTGCTCATTTATAAATTGATATTCCCTGCTATTTTGTATATCAGTATACAAAGCTTCACTTTCATCTATAGTTTTCCGTGTGGTGACGGATTAAGAATCCAGAGTTTCAAAGAGAAGGAAAACTTGAAACAAACCCGTTTTTTTTTTTTTTTTTTTAACGTGTGGAAATCCCCTCGGACCGTCACCCCTCCGGGGTTTGCGGCGGGGTGGTGTGTCGGACTCGGACCGACTAAAACCACACGGTGTGCCACTCTGCGCCTGTAACAGGAGGGATCCGGGAACAGCTGTTGTTAAGACATCCGGACCCCTCCTAGCGCCAGCCCGCTCCTGGTGCGGGCTCCGTCTCGATATTTTTTCCTCTCTTTTAGGCGACGTCCGGCACACGCGGGACGCCGCCCCCTCAGCGGCTGGCCAAACTAATGCGGGTGGAGGGAAACCCACCCCGTCCACCCGCGGCCACACTCAGGGCGGCATGAGGCTGTGGTAGGCGGGCTCCCGCCGCCCGGTTCGCCGGCGGCGGATCGGGTCCGAGTGGAGGTCGTCCTCCCGGGCCCATCTCCCGCCGCCTCCTTCCGCGAGATTACTACCTCGCAGAAGGTTGCGACCGCGGTAAAACAACTGTCCGCTACCGGCCAATGGAGCGTACTACGGCCGGTAGCGAGAGATCCACTCCGATGACTGCAGTGAGGGCCCGGCGCTGCGCCGCCCATGCGGGGCAGACCGCCAGCGTGTGCTGGGCCGAGTCCTCACTGCAGTCGCAGTGGTGGCAGGCGGGACTCAGTTCCCTCCCAGCGACCGTGTGCAGGTACTTTCCGAAGCAAACCGTGCCCGGCAAGCACCTGCGTCAGTCGGAAGGAAAGGGTCCCGTGCTGCCGCCCTGCCCACTCGGGCGATGACCGGCTGGAGAGCCTCCACGGCGGCGAAGCCAGCGCGTGGAGTCTCCAGCCGGAACGACCAACGAGCCATCGTGGCTCGGCGAGCGGGCTTCGCGCCACTCGCGCACATCCTCGGGCGGAGGGCGAAATCCGCTCTCCGCCCGGTAGTCAGCCACTCGCCGATAAACTTCGGCGAGCACTTCCGCCTCCAAATCCCACGGGGGAGTTCCGGCCAACGCGCACGCCACATCCGTCGAAACGGTGCGGTAACCGCGTATGGCTCTGACCGCCATTACCCTCTGAGGGCGCCAGAGGCGTACCCTATTCTGGGCGGTCAGAGCCGCCGCCCACACCGGTGCACCGTACAGTGCCATTGACCCCCAACCCCCTTGTCCCGCCGTCTTGCGCAAACCGGGGCCCCCAAAACCCATATTGGGAAAAGAGTCCCCCCCTAGGGCAGACGCACCCCCGCCCAAGCTTGGGAAGCTGTCAAATTTGCTCGTCAAAGACCCCACCTCCCTTCGAGGTCGGGCCCAATTTTCATCTGGGCCCAAACCCGGTACGAGGACCTTTTTGGGACCACGATGGAGGCCCCCGGGGGGGTGGACCACGACGGGGCCCTTTTGAAAAAAAGGGGCCCCTCCTTTTTATCTAGGGCCACCCGAAAGGGCCCACGCCTCAATGCCCCCGAGCCCAAAAGGGAGACTCCCCCTGGGGCCAAAGGCGCGCCGCCCCCTTGGAAGTTTGCCCCCCCGGGCTGCACCGGGGTATCGTCTCCCTTTAAACAGATTACACCCAGCCGGGGGGGAAATCGGGGGGCAAAGGGGCCCCCAGTCGAAACCCTATTTTTTCCCAAGGGGGGCCCCAAGGGAACGCCCCCTTTTGGAAAAAACCGCACACTTTTCCCGGGACTCCTAAAATTTACCTTCTCGGGGCCCCCTCGTAAAAGGACGGTACGCCCCTCTAAGTAGTCTGCCACTAGCCCCCTCAGGTACTTTGGGCCCAAACCCCATATAGTGGGTGCCCCCCTGATGCAGCTAAAATGGCAGACTTTTTAAATGCTTGGCGATGCCTAAGCCCACCGCCAACACCACGCCGCCACAGCTCACTCCCTCTTCGGGTCAGGGCCCCTCAGGCCCAAAAAGGGGGGCGTCAAACCGTCAAAGGGCCCCCGCCCGAAAACCAAATTGGGCGCCCGGGACAGATCGGGGCCCCCTGGGCAGAGGTGGGGGGGACCGGGGGCAAAAAAGAACCCTCGCAAAAATTTGCCCCCTCGTCCACACACGATGGGCCTTACAGGCCGGACCAAATGGGGCACCCGTCCCGGTTTCCCCCCAAAGGCCCAAAGCTTCCCCCCCTTCCACCCACCGGGGAAGCGCCCCGGGAACGCCAAGCAAAACGTCAAAAAACCTTTCCCCGAGGCGGCCCTCCCCATGTGGTTGAGGGCCAGGGCCGCCTGGGGGCCGGAACCCCTTTGGGCCCCAAGGGGCGGTGTTTTTGGGGAAGGGTTTCCTTTAGAACACCCGCCCCTACCTCCAAACCCCGGGGACGGGCGGAACAGGGGCCCTTTCCCCCTGCTCCCCGTCGTCTCCCGGGGGAGGGGGGGCCATCGACGGGGGAGTGGTGTTCCCCCTCGTTGTGGGAAAAGGCCCTCAAAACCCTTCTCCCGGGGGAAAACTGGGCTGGAGAGTCTCCGTAAGGGGGGGGGGGGCCCCAAGCGCGGGGCTTTTGCACCGCGCGGTTTAAGGGGGGACCCCAGGGGTCACGTTGACCCCCCCCAGCATTTTCCTGTTTTTTCCTCTTTGGGGGCGGGGGTTTAAAGGCCAGGCCTTTAGAGTTTTTCCGCGGCCCCCTCGGTTTTCCTCATGAAGCCGGTTCCTCTACCGTCTCCACGGGGACGCCGCCGAAATGCGCGGGTAGGACCCTCCGGGCCGTGTACCCGGCCGCACGGAGGGCCGCCCCAGCTCCTGGGAACCCCCAGTTTGACCTTCCCTTTCCCTTTGGGGGGCCGACGACCTCGAACGCGGGGCATTGGGCCCCATCCGATATGCGTAAATCGCTTTGGGAAAACGGCCCCCCCCACGTCACCTTTCCCCGGTGGGGCCCCGAGGAGACGCCACAATTTAATTATGGCCCGCCTCCTCTAGTAGGTCCCGGTTCAGGGGCCCGGCAACAGCCAAACCCCGGAAAGCGGGAAATTTTAAAAGCCCCCCCACTTTCCCCCCTACTGGGGGTCCTGGGTTTCCGGGAGAGCTCAAATCGGGGTATACGGTGATCCGAAGCGTCTCAACCCCCTTTTCCCGGGGCCAAAAACCCCGTTTTTACTTTGTGCGGCGAGGGCAGGGGGTTTTGCGAACGAAAAAGGGCCACTATCGACCCCCCCCGCGGCCCCACGCAAAGTGTTGGTTTAGCCTCTGTTGGGAGGGCCAAAAGGCCCACCCCAGGGCCCCCCCCACTCCCCTAAAGGCCTCGCCCCTTTCGTCCGTCCTGGGGGAACCCCACGGGGAAGGGGGGGTTTTCGTTGAAGTCCCCCAGCCAAGGACGTGCCCAGACGCTAGTCCCGTTTTCGAGGGCTCCAAGCTGGTTGGAAAAACCTCCCAAGGGCGTTCAAAATCCGTTGGGGGGGAAAAAAGACACCTATAGGGTTATTTCCCCCCCCCCTCGAAAGGGGCCCAAATATCCCCGTGCCCCCGTCCCCTTACGAAAGGGCGGGGAAAGAGCCCTCGGGAACCGGGCGACTGCCCCCGGAGCCTCCCCCGTAAAACCCTCCAGTTTTTGGGCGGGAGGGACGAATAGGGCTTTTCCCCCCACTACGGAAAAAACCTATCGACCACTGTTCCAAAGGGTTTTCAGGGAAAAGATCCTGCGCCCGGGACAGTGGTTCAGGTTCGTCTGGGGCCAGGAGGGTTTGGGGACTTGATCCATTACTGGGGTCGTCTCTACCCCCCCTCCTCCATTGGGGGGACGATTTGGGCGGCCCCGGAAAAATAATTTGGAGGCAGGCCCCGGGTTTGAACGGCTAACCCCCGGGCGTCTGCCGAGAACTGCGGGGAGGCTTGGGAGCCTCTTGCCCCAATTTTGGTAAATTGGGGGGGCTTTTTTGCCCGCCCCACACGCTGGGCAGTGAGGGGGCGGCAGAGCATTTTTGGGCCGGGCCCTTTTTGGCCCCGGGTTTTTAAACCCCAGCGGGAAAAAACTTCCCCCCGCAGTCAAAACAACTGTCAACCCTTTACCCCCCGCGTGTGTCCCCCGGCCAGGCAAATTTTAAAAACCCCATTTGGTCTCGGGGCCCCCCAGGACTGTGATCTGGCCTTTACGGGAAACCCATGAGCAAACCTGCCCGGGGTCCGGCCAAAATTTGGGCCCACGCTAAAGGGACAGTGACCCACACGGCGGGCCCGCCCTCCTGGACCGGGGGGGATGGGTT